CCCTGGCTCGCGCCTGTCATCCCAGCACTCTGGGAGGCCGAGGCGGGACGTTCCGAGGTCAGGGTCCGAAAACAGCCTGAGCAAGAAGCGAGACCCCGTCTCTACTCATAAATAGAAATTATTGGCCAATAATATATATATAGAAATGAGGCCGGCGTGGTGGCGCATGCTGTAAGTTCCCAAGCTACTCGGGGAGGAGGTTTGAGGCAGAGGGATCGCTTGAGCCAGGATTGAGGTGTTTAAGCGAGGGCTGCGCCACGGCACTACTCTAGACTGGGCAACCAAGGGAGACTTCTGTCCAAAAGAAAAAAAAACAAAACAAAACGCCGCAGAAACAAAAGAAACCAGTTGATCCTGGATTCAAAGGAGGGCATACATATGGAAGGCAGGGTTTACTGGAGAACTTCTTTGGCGGCTTAGCCCAGCATTTTACCAATCTAATTATGTGTGCACACGTCCTTCTCTCTCTTACTCCCTGTGGAGGTTTTATATTTGATTTTTATTTTTTTCTTTTCTCAGGTTATCAACGATTCCTCCTCACCACCCCCCTTCGGACCAAAGAGGTAAATGAGTGGGTTGTTTTTGTTTTTTTTTTTTTTTTCTATAGGCAATCTCATCTTCTGACTTTGTCAATTCCCATTTGTTGCTAGATCACTATGATATGTATGTATTCGGTTTTTAATTGTAGAAATCAGTTGTTATTTTTTGTCATCTTATGTTTTTTTTTTGTTTTTAATGTGCTAAAGGCATGGGACCTTCTTAGATTGGTAGACGTGATGCCTTGGAACTCAATAGTACTGGAGATTAATGGTATCTTTTTTATAATTCCTCAATAGTTCTGATGTCACTGATTTTATTTACAAAACGTTGGAAGATCCAAGCTGGCCATTTAAAAATGTTATTACTTTCTTCAAAAATTATTACTGCTTGTATATTTTTGCGTGTGTTAGCAACCCGAAATGAGGAATGTACCAGTGTTGTATACCGTGTTTCCCCGAAAATAAGCCCTAGTAGGATGTCTAAGCAGGTGCGCAATAGAAGCCCTACTTGGAAAATCAGCCCTAGTGGTGGGCGTGGCCATGAAAATCAGCCCGGGTGGTGGGCGTGGCTATGAAAATCAGCCCCAGTGGTGGGCATGGTTATGAAAATCAGCCCTAGTGATGGGTGTGGCTATGAAAATCAGCCCTAGTGATGGGCGTGGCTATGAAAATCAGCCCTAGTGGTGGGCGTGGCTGCGCAGCACATCTGCACAACCCATGCGTGTCGTCGCGGGAAAGAACACGAGCAGCCCTTCTCATCCGCCCCGTGAGAGCTCTAGTGCTCCACAGGAGAGATCGGGGCCGGTGGCTCTAAAGGAAACAGAGTCGCAAGACATTCAGGATGGGATTCGGGGTCTGGAGAGTGAGGATGATGTTCCAGAAGAAGACGACTTCACTCTGTTTGAATCAATGCAGATGGTTGTACCGCACTTAAAAAAAAATTAACACATCCCCTGAAAATCAGCCCTAGGGTGTCTTCTGGAGGAAAAATAAATAGAAGACCCTGTCTTATTTTCGGGGAAACACGGTATTTTCAAAACTTCTCAACTCCTTATCTTTTTTCAGTCCGATTTTCATGGAGTTCACATATACATTGATGCTTTCAATGGTTGTCAAATGATTGTCCTAATTTTATTCATTTAATTTATTATTTTTTTAAAATTTCTTTTCTTTTCTTTTCTTTTTTTTTTTACACCTTAAAATGATGCAACACGCTGGGAGATTGTCCTAATTTTAATGTGTTGCCTTTCTCTAAGTATAAAGTGATGAGAAGCTGTGGAATAAACAAGTAATACTTATTGGTTAAAGAGGACTTTTGGTCATCTAGGAATGATACAAGAGAGATTCCTAAAAATCTGAGGAAGGGAAGGAGTTCTCTTAGATCTGCAGAACTCAACTTGAAATTTATGCCCGTGAGCATAATAAATGCATCCACATTACCCTATATGCTATTTTTTTTCATAACAGTGATATCACTCAGAAAAAGAGTTTACATGTGAGCCAGTTCTGACTCAACAATATTTTAGGAAATAATTAAAATCCATTTAAAACATGTGTTTGCACAGGAGGAAGAAGAACCTCTGCCTTCTAAGAAATGGCCAACCGTGGACGCTTCCTATTACGGCGGTCGGGGAGTTGGAGGAATTAAAAGAATGGAGGTTGGTATCTTAAAAAAAAAAAAACATAGAAGCTGCTAATCTGCAATATGCATTTCTAGTGCTATTCCATCATGGAAACTGTCCTTTGCACAATGCAATATTATAATCCCATCCATTTTTTACTTAACACTGGGTCTTTTCTGGATACATTTTTTTTCCCCCTGTGGGATCATGCTAGCCATTTGAAAACCGTTCAAGAGCTGGTTTCGTTAGTCAAAGGATTGCATTGATAATGCATGATTGCATTTCGTCCTTCGGATTATGAAGGGCGAAACAAAACAAAAGGGCTTTTCTCATTAGTTTGGAAAGACATTACCTCACAGAGCATCTACTTGGAAGAAACCAGGCATTTAACAGTTTGGAAAATGCCCTTCTTTGAAAATTATTGGGGTCCGTAGGTGTATATTGTTATGCTGGGTAACTATTTGAGGAGGAAAATGTCAATAACATGAACACGACCATCTCACAGATATGGAGGAAACACATTTTTCTCTTCCTTTCTTTCTTTCTTTCTGGCTTTTCTTTCTGTCTTTCTTTTTTCTTTCTTCTTTCTTTCTTTCTTTTTAGTTTGAGGAAGAGTCCAGGCTCTTCGGCCCCAGGGCTAGAGTGGAGTGCCATGGGCATCGACGCCCTCGCTACGCGAATCCTCTGCTCCTGGGGCTCAAGGCGCGATCCTCCCTGCTCAGCCCTCCCTCCAACGTGAGCTGGACTGACGCAGGCAAGTGGAGGCCACGCGATGCCGGGCTGAATTTTTTGCTCTGATATTTAATTTATTAGTTGGCCAATTAATTTCTTTCGTATTTTATAGTAGAGGACGGGTCTCGCTCTTGCTCAGGCTGGTTTCTACTCCTGACCTTGAGCATTCTGCCCGCCTCGGCCTCCCAGCAGCGCTGGGATGAAGGCGTGAGTCACCCGCCCGGCCACATTTATTTCTTTAATTCAGCGCTTTTAGTTACCATTTTACGACTTACGTAATGAATCTTTCATATCCTCGAACGCAGTGACTGTCAGAGCCCCTGCACCCCTCCAAGTGTGATCCAAAATTGATTTAATGCTCCTCGCAAAAAAATAAAAGGGTTTTTTTTGTTTTTTCGTGTTTGTAATGCCATGACTATTTGGTTGTTTTCCAAGTGATGTTATAATATAAGCGCAATCATTGGCGCGAGAAGGCCGGCCGAGCTCTTAACCAGGATAGACAAGGCGCAACATCCGCGCAGTTGGCGAGAGACAATTCAAAGTGTTTTCTCCCCGGGGAGACACATTGATTTGTTATTAAACCCACTTCCTGGCTTTTCCTCCTTATTAATGGCCTTTTTCGGGAGGGTTGTTGCCTGGCCTGTGAATGGAAGAAGAGACTGGTGTTTCGGCATTCATTCGCGGCAGCCTTTTCAGACGGTGGTGGGGCGCCTAACTGTGTGTGTCGGCGCGGTGGTTAGGGCTGCTAGCAAAAAAAACCAGCGAGGCCGGAAGTTAGACAGGAGGGTCCACGGTTGTTGTTGCGATTTTTCTCTTTTTATACATTTCCATAAAGTGCAGGTTCCCCAAGAGGGGTTTCCCCTTTTGAGAATTGAAATTTCCGATTTCTCCAAAGGAAGGAAGGAAGGCGACCGCTTAAACGCGGTTGTCACCACAGGTGTCCAAGGTGATTGCGCATTTCTTGACCAATTGGTCTTAAGGAGAGGAAGCGCGTGTTGTGTGTGTGTGTTGTGTTGGTTGTTGGTGTTTGCGTTTTTTGCCTATGTCCACTTTATTGCGAAATGAGGTGTGTGTCCTCGTGGGCGCCTGCGGGTACCTTATTGCCAATAAGCCGTGGTAAAAGGCAGGTGCTAGCAGTTATTAAGCTTGTCTTTTGGCGCCGAAGATGTGGTGCCATGTTGGGTTGTGTTTTTTTTTTTTTTTTGCATGGAGGTAATTGAGAACCTCACGCAATACAAGAAAACATGGCTAGCTAGTTCTTGTTGTTTGACACAAAAAGGAAGTTTATTTTCCTTCTCTCGCCTTTGTTGTGTCATTCTAGGCTTGGAAGGGTAGGGAAAGATTGGATTGGATGTTCCTATGTGTATAAAAATACAATTGCAAATAAAATTTTTACATGCAAATATTCAAATAGGATCTGTCACAACTTATCTTTATATTTAGCCTCGTTCCAAAATGTGTGTGTAGAAAAATGTATGTAAGTGGGGGAAAAAAAAAAAGTTTGAAAGGATATACCAAAAAAAAAAAAAAAATGTGAGTAGGTTTCTTTGGCTGGAGAATTTTCAATGTGCGCTATTATATTTCCCAACTTTTTTCTATTCAGAATTTATTTGACAATAAGAATGTGCTGCTTTGTATTCAGAACAATACATTGGATTTCATTTTGAAATCCACACAGGTACAATACCACACGATGAGATATATTTTAGTATGGGAGCCTTAATTGACTAAATAATGTTCTTGCTGCAAAAACTAGGAGTACTGTCTCATTTTTGTTAGCCTGGTATTCTAGTGTTCCAAAGATCGGGGATCTTTTTTTAAAGAAAAGAATATGCATGAACCCCTGAATGGGTCCTAAGGAACGTTTATTGGTTTATTGGCTCAAGAGAGCCAAGAGTTCATGCACATCCCTAAGCAACACATAATTCAAGTTTCAGGAGTTATTGAGTGTTCCTATAAAATCATATTGTCCACCCATCCTTTTCAGTAGAAAAAAAATTTGTGAGAATTCAGCCAAAATTTTAATAAATCTGGGTCCACTTTAGCTTTGCATAATTCGGCTACCTTGTAGCCAAACAAGATGGAAATGGTAATGAGAAAAGGAAAAAGTGGCAAAGCAAATGTGAGCATTACACAGGAGAAACCAATACAGGTTGTGTGAGCCTTTTCATCCAAAATGATTGTGACCAGAAGTGCTTTAGATTTTGAATTTTTTTTTTTTTTGTTTTTTAGATTTTTGAATATTTGCATATACAAAATGAGATATCTTGGGGATGGGAACATAAAGTTCAAGTTTAAACACAAAATTTATTTCTGTTGTATGCGTACCTTATACACATACCCTGAAGGCAATTCATGCAATATTGTTAATGATTTTGTGCATGATGCAAAGTTTTAACCGCAACTTATAACATGAGGTCGAGTGTGGAATTTTCCACCGGTGGCATCCTGTCCGCACTCAAAAGTTGTCAGATTTTGGAGCATTCTGGATTTAAAATTTTTAGAACATAGAGATTTCAAATCTGCATGTAAAAATACACAATCAAAATTGAACTGAGAATTAAGCATCATTAAACTTTCTGAAACATGAACTGATTTAAACTTGGAGAGGGAAAACGGAAAACACAATCTGGTTTAAAAGCATTCCTACTCAAACCTGGAAAGCACTTCTCTTTTAAAAAGTACGTTAGACTATGGAAAGTAAAAGGAATTCTAGAAATTATGACCACATATGAATTACAGAACAAATCTTCGTAACTAAGGTTATTTTAAGCCAGTGTAGGGGATTTTACCTAGAATTTCTTTTTTCTTGCTCCTCTTTTAAATTAAATATTTAAACATGACGGTCATGGGAATTTGCAGAAAGCTGGAACTGAGCTGATGTTATTAACAGCTGTTAGCACAACTGATCCGCGATACCTAATGACTTCAGATGTGGGTTTCTGCCAATTCAGCGTGAAACTGTTTTTGTTTCTTTTTCTCAATTCTGAAATTGCTCCTCTATGATCTAACCTTCCAGTCATCCCAATATGCTCTGGAAATTATGGAGTTTTATTGTTTATAATAAAAGCCAAGTGGCGTTGGAAGAATTTAGCGATCAAGCTTGCACTTACTTTTTTTTTTTTTTTTCATAATAAAAAAGCTAGATTATATTATTTCTGCAGAGGCTCCTCTTAGCGATTGATTCTTGTCACTCTTTTTGTCCTTTATAACTATGGCAATACGGCCAAACTGAAACAGTAAAATGTATGCACAGATACGTACCATATGTATGTAAATCTATATGTAATTATATATCTACATATATAAATATGTAAATGTACATTTACATATTAAATATGTAATATATTTATAAATATAACTAATATATTTACATATTAAAATATGTAAATATATATTTACATTGATTGTTTTTAAGAGTTTTTGGAACACTCTACAAAGAATTATCTAGTTTTAGACTTTGACATTAAGGAAGAATTGTTTATCATGATGGTGAAATAAGTCCTTCATGTAATAACACTAATGAAATTTATTTAATGACTCTCCCTTTAGACCTCAGCCACTACCTATCACAGGTACAGTTTTTGGATAGTTGAGTCCCTAGATGAATGACATATTGGGGTCAGGATTCTAGTTTAACCAGCTTCATATTCTTTATCTGAGAATGGTAAAAAAAAAAAATGAGTATGATTATCATTAGTTCCATGTCATCATCTGTAAAGGACAGGCTAGGGAGGTGTATATGTTGAAATCTTATCATTTCTTGAGTGGATCTAAATTTTATCTAAACTTATATTTCTTCTTTTTTTTTTTTTTTTTTTGAGACAGAGTCTTGCTGTGTTGCCCAGGCTAGAGTGAGTGCCGTGGCGTCAGCCTAGCTCACAGCAACCTCCAACTCCTGGGCTCAAGCGATCCTCCTGCCTCAGCCTCCTCCCGAGTAGCTGGGGCTACAGGCATGTGCCACCATGCCCGGCTCATTTTTTCTATATATATATTAGTTGGCCAATTAATTTCTTTCTATTTTATAGTAGAGACGAGGTCTCGATCTTGCTCAGGCTGGTCTCGAACTCCTGACCTTGAGCTATCCGCCCGCCTCGGCCTCCCAGAGTGCTGGGATTACAGGCGTGAGCCACCGCGCCCGGCTAAACTTATATTTCTACCCTGAATTACTTCTCTAAATGATCACATTAATATGTTTACTTAACTGTGTATCTCTCTCTTTTCCTTCCCCCTTACAGGGGGAAGAAAGAGACCGTATAATTGCCAGGATAGGTGTCCTGATTTCACAGATTTTTGATTCAATTTAGTTATGCCTAAAGATTTTACAAGTGTTAGTTTGTCTAGGTGAAGACACTGTGTGATTCGAAAGAGAAGGTCATTTCTCTGGAAAGAGCGCCAACTCTCCGGCTCTGAAGGTTTAATGGTGTTTAAAACAATGTTAACAACCTCATAAAGAACATTCTAATACCATTGATCACACTGAAAGATACTGCTACATTTTAATGACTCAACAGGGTCCAATTGAAATTGAAAGCTCATTCTAAAATTGTAGTAAAGAAAGGGTAAAAACATCTAAGTAAGCCTTATCAAAAAGCTATGAATAGTTCTATGAACAGTAATCACTTCTATCCCTACCCACTAATTCAGGTCATTAAAATGCTTTGAAAGGTCCTTTTTTTTTTTTTCCTTTGGAAAAATGACTTAACTGTGGTGTGTGCCATAGTGCGCCCTAGGTAGGTCTTCATATTTATTTTTAGAGCTTCACTAGTCTGATCTTTGTTGTCGCTGGTAATGTCTTTGGTTTCCAAAGGACTTCCCACCACTCCTTGTTGGACAAAATCCTTCTCTGGGGGCCACCCCCTCTTCAAATGCCCCCTTTCACTCAAATTTGGCCCTTAATTCCTATTCATTGACAAATAAAGAAAACACTAATTGGATCCTGTGTTTTTTTTTTCCAATGCCACGAGTTTTGAGAGAAGGAAATTCCCTAGAATTTGTGCAATTCCCAGGATTTTTCTTTTGAAAACAGAGTCTTTTTCAGATTTGTCTTTCCCATTGGAAAATTCATATGTTAAATAACCCTACTCAGATGGGCACTGGAACTAAAAAGACTGAAAGCCACTTTTACAAAGTGCAACTTTATAAAAGTAAAGGAAACTCACGTAAAATTATTTTGCTTTCAAGGTATGTTTCAATCGTACCTTTTTTTTTTTTTTTACCTTAATCCAACTTGGTGGAAAGTTTGGAAGGAGCAGCTCCTTTGTGTATGACACATTTATAGAATCCAAAGCAATTTGAAACTTATTAATCCATTTCAGATCACCTGTGTTCCAATCTCTGCCCTGCCATTTACTAGCTATTCGGTTTTTGGAGACATCACTTAACCTCTTTAGCACCTCATCTGGAAAGAAAAAATATATATATAGTGTTTATCTCTTTGCATTTTTGTATGGGTTAAATGCAGGCTGAGATCCCTCAGCAATGACCTGATAAATGCTAATGTTCATATATTTCTTCCAGTGTCATCATATGGGAGACATACACATATGTGTATGTGTTTAGCTAGCAGAGGATCATGCCTAATCAGAAAATAGAGTCATGCACTGTCATGCAATTCACGTGTCAGCCACTAACTGACTCCTTATTTGGGACTATGGAGAAATGACTGCTTCAAATGTAATTGACTCCATATTTTTACAAAGAGTCTTTTTTTTTTTTTCCTAGGATCTTAATATTAAATAAGTAGTGGTGAGAAACCTTTATTAAACCTCAAAAGAGGAGTTAGTATACCTGCCCATCTTCTTTTTCATTTTGAGATGGTCAACCAAAGGCTGATGGTAAACCATGGGCTGAGTAAGAGCTTGTTCCTCTAGAACAGCGGCCCCCAACCTTTTTGGCACCAGGGACCAGTTTCATGGAAGACGATTTTTCCATGGACAGGAGGAGGGGCTGGGGGTGAGGACGGTTTGGGGATGACTCAAGTGCACCACATTTACTGTGCAGTCAGACCTCTCTGCTAATGATAATCCGTGTTTGCAGCCACTCCCCGGCTCTAGCAACACCACCTCAGCTCCACCTCCGATCATCGGGCATTGGATTTTCACGTGGGGCACAACCTATGTCCCGGGCAAGCCCAGTTTACAGTAGGGTTCCTGCTCCTGTGAGAATCTAATGTCCCCTGACCTGACAGGAGGTAGAGCTTTGCTCACTCACTACCTGCTGCTGTGCAGCCCGGGGCCTAAGGGGCCACGGCCCGTTGCCTGGGGCGTGGGGACGGCAGCTCTAGAGCACTCCCTGTCTGACATAGAGCACTCCCTGTCTGATCTAGAGCACTTTCTGTCTGACACAGAGCACTTCCTGTCTGACACATAGAGCACTTCCTGTCTGACATAGAGCATTTTCTGTCTGACATAGAGCACTTTCTGTCTGACACATGGAGCACTTCCTGTCTGACACACAGAGCACTCCCTGTCTGACACATAGAGCACTCCCTGTCTGACATAGAGGACTCCCTGTCTGACACATAGAGCACTTCCTGTCTGACACATAGAGCACTTCCTGTCTGACACATGGAGCACTCCCTGTCTGACATAGAGGACTCCCTGTCTGACACATAGAGCACTTCCTGTCTGATCTAGAGCACTTTCTGTCTGACACAGAGCACTCCCTGTCTGATAGAGCACTTCCTGTCTGACACATGGAGCACTTCCTGTCTGACAAAGAGCACTCCCTGTCTGACACACAGAGCACTCCCTGTCTGATCTAGAGCACTTTCTGTCTGACACAGAGCACTCCCTGTCTGACATAGAGCACTCCCTGTCTGACACACGGAGCACTCCCTGTCTGATATAGACCACTTCCTGTCTCTGTCTGATATAGAGCACTCCCTGTCTGACACATTGAGCACTTCCTATCTGACATAGAGCACTTCCTGTCTGATCTAGAACACTTTCTGTCTGACACAGAGCACTTAGTGTCTGACAAGGAGCACTTCCTGTCTGACACAGAGCATCTTCTGTCTGACATAGAGGCACTTCCTGTCTGACATAGAGCACTTCCTGTCTGACACAGAGCACACTTCTGTCCCCGACCATGCTTCCTGCCAACCAGAGCACCCTAGTCCTGACAATAGAGCAGCTTCCTATTCTGAATAACCGAGCCACTTTCCATGTCTGACAATAGAGCCTTTCTGTCCTGACCCATAGAGCAACTTCCTATCTGACATAGAGCACTCTGTCTGACATATCACTTTCTGTCTGACATAAGAACACGTTCTTGTCTGACAAGGAGCACTTCCTGTCTGACACAGAAGGCACACCGTACCTTCGTCCGAACCATGGAGCCCAATTCTATCCCAACAGAGTACTCCCTGTCTGACACAGAGCATCTTCTGTCTGACATAGAGCAGCCTTTCGTCTGACCATAGAGCATACTTCTCTTGTCTGACATAGAGCACTTCCTGTCTGACACAGAGCACCTTCTGTCCGACATGGAGCAATTCCTATCCAACAGAGTACTCCCTGTCTGAACATAAGTACTCCTGTCCCTGACCCACAGAGGGCATCTCTGTCCCTGACATAAGAGCACTTCCTGTCTACATAGAGCACTTCTGTCTGGACACAAGAAGCACCTTCGTCCGACATGAGAGCAATTCCTATCGCCAAACAGAAGTACTCCCTATACACATAGAGCAACTTCCTGTCTGACATAAGACAGCTCCCCTGTCTGACATAGAGCACCTTCCTGTCTGACACATGAGGCAGCCTTCGTCCGCGACACATGGAGCAATTCCTGCCCAACAGAGCACTCCCTGTCTGACATAGAGCACTTCCTATCTGACATAGAGCCTACTTCTGTCCTGACCCATAGGCACTCTGTCTGACATAGAGCACGTCTTGTCCCTGACATAGAGGCACTTTGCCTGCTGATCACGAGCAGCCTTCTGTCCGACATGGACAAATCCTATCCCAACAGGAGTACTCCCCCTGTCCCTGACATAAGAGCCCATCTTCTGTCCTACATAGACACTTTCCTGTCCTGACATAGAGCACTTCCTGTCTGACATAGAGCACTTCCTGTCTGACACAGAGCACCTTCTGTCCGACATGGAGCAATTCCTATCCAACAGAGTACTCCCTGTCTGACATAGAGTACTCCTGTCTGACACAGAGCATCTTCTGTCTGACATAGAGCACTTCCTGTCTGACATAGAGCACTTCCTGTCTGACACAGAGCATCTTCTGCGCGACATGGACAATTCCATCAACAGAAGTACCCCTGTGACATAGAGGCATCTTCTGTCCTGACATAAGCACTTCCTGTCTGACATGAGAGCCACTTCCTGTCTGACAAGCAGAGCAGCCCTCTGTCCGACATGACAATTTCTCTATCCAACAGAGTACTCCCTGTCTGACATAGAGCACTTCCTGTCTGGACATAGAGCAGTGTCCTGTCCCGACATACAACACTCCCCCATTTCCGACATGGAGCACTTTGTATGTGACATGGAGCACTTCCTGTCTGACACAGAGCACTTCCTGTCTGTCCTGAACCATCCCCATGTTCTCCCCATTTGTATTCCCCAAGTCCGCTGGGTGACAAAGGGTCGACTGAGGAGGGCGCGAGGCTGGAGAAAGCCAAGAACGCTGTGGTGAAGATTCCGGAAGAAGCGGAGGAGCCCCCCAGGCCCAGACCTCCACGACCCAGGCCCACACACCAGCCTCCCCAGACGAAGTGGTACACGCCCATCAAGGTGCGTCCACATTTGGTGTCCTTCGACTTATCCCTCCTACAGGAACTCTGGGTTTTTTAGTCCCCCCTTCCTGTCAACTACCGTGTTTCCTCGAAAATAAGACAGGGTCTTCTATTTATTCTTTCCTTCCCAAAGAAGATACCCTAGGGGCATATTTTCAGGGATGTGTTTTTTTTTTTTTTAAGTACGGTTACAACCATCCTAACATTGATTCAAACAGAGTGAAGTCCGTCTTCCCTCGGAACATCATCCTCACTCTCCAGACCCCGAATGCCCATCCTGAATGCTTGGCCGACTCGTTTCCTTTAGAGCCAGCCGCCCCCCATACTCTCCCGTGAGCAGCTAAGAGGCTCTCACCGGGTCGATGAGAAGGGCCTGCCCGTGTTCTTTTCCGCTCCCGCTGATGAACACTCATGGGTTGGGCAATGTGCTGCGCAGCCAGGCCCGTCACTAGGGGCTGATTTTCATGCACGCCACTCCACTAGAGGCCCGATTTTCATAGCCATGCCCCATCACTAGCGGCCTGATTTTCATAAGCCACGGCCCTCATCTAGGGTCCTGATTTTCATAGGCCACGGCCCCATCCATAGGGCTGATTTTCATAGTCTCGGGCCCATGACACTAGGCTGATTTTCATAGCCACGCCGCCCTCACTAGGTGCTTTTCATAGCCACGCCCCTCACCTAAGGGCCTTATTTTCATAGCCCGCACGCCCCATCACCTAGGCTGATTTCATAGCCACGGCCCAGTCCACAGGGCTGATTTTCGGGCTATGGGCTTCTATTGTGCACCATGCTCAGACATCCTGCCTGGGGCTTGTTGCCATGAGTGGGTCTTATTTCGGAAAGCACCCGGTATTTATTTAAAAGAGGACCAGAGCTGATCGAATAGCAGATATTTATCCTGGGCTCTGACGACTCAACACTTTCTTTGCAGTAAGAACCTCTGGATTTTTGTTATTTATTTACTTAGACCAGGGGTCCTCAAACTTTGTAAACAGGGGGGCCAGCTCACCGTCCCTCAGACCGTTGGAGAGTGCGCACTGCGGGCCCCGGGGCCAGTCGCCTGCTAAGCAGGACAGGCCAGTGCGGCAAACACACCCGGTGGGGCCGGATACATGTGCTAGGCGGGCCGCATGTGGCCCACAGGGCCGTAGTTTGAGGACGCCTGATTTAGACGATAGAGGATAAGCATTTAGCTCCCTGGTTTTTATCTCTCTTCATTTTTCCAGTCAATAGAGGCTGAGCTCGTTCCCTGGGAACTTAACAATCCTGTTTTCCTTCAGGGTCGCCTGGATGCTCTCTGGGCTCTGCTTCAGCGACAGTACGACCGGGTTTCCTTGATGCGACCCCAAGAAGGAGATGAGGTTTGTAGATGGTAGTCTTGGGCAAGCGCCGACCGCTTGGGTCACTATTATGAAGGTAGGGAGATAATCATAAAAAATAAGGTCAGGCCGGGCGCGGTGGCTCACGCCTGTCATCCCAGCACTCTGGGAGGTCGAGGCGGGAGGATCACTCAAGGTCAGGAGTTTGAAACCAGCCCGAGCAAGAGCGAGACACCCATCTCTACTATAAACAGAAAGAAATTAATTGGCCAACTAATATATATAGAAAAAATTAGCCGGGCGTGGTGGCGCACACCTGTAGTCCCAGCTACTCGGGAGGAGGCTGAGGCAGGAGGATCGCTTGAGCCCAGGAGTCTGAGGTTGCTGTGAGCGAGGCTGACGCCACGGCACTCGCTCTAGCCCGGGCGACAGAGCGAGACTCTGTCTCAAAAAAAAAAGAAAAGATAAGCCCTTATTACGCTTGAGGAAGGAAACAGTGTTGTCTGGTGCAAATTCGCATTGCATAGAGTGACT